TCTGATTGATCATCTGATTGATCATCTGATTGTACATAGTCTAAGTGTTCCACCCCTTTTTTATTTACTTGTATTATTAGATACTACTTTGTAACACTAATAACGCTGCTTCTCTGTGAGACATTTCACCAAGTCCTCAGGGGTCACATAGCATCTGTGGCCTTCTTTGTCTGAAGATTACCACAGACGTCCATTTGCTTAAGTACGTACTCACCATCAGGTGGATATGCGAACCAGAAAAATATTCAACTTTATACGGAATTACTGTAGAAATTAAGTGTTTTTGAGTTACAAAAGTTGCTATATTCGTATTATTTATAATTTAAGTACTACGTGGCGCCTATAATAAGTCGATTTATGATTTCCGGGAGATATCTATCTTTATTAAAAATGTTGTTATCTTTTTCTTTTCCTAATATATCACATTATATCATCGTTTGACATTGACTTATCCTCGTGTTTTGCCTGTTACAAATTTTCATATGTTTTAATAATTTTACTCTCGCTCACTCGTTTGCTTCCCGCTAGGGAACCATTATTAAGCCACGCAGTTGTCGACAACTCGACGAGTCCTCGCAATTTAAAATAAATAGAATTTAAAACACTTTTATCTGACATTTAAGCTGACTTCAGAAAAAGGAGAAATTTAACTGTTCGGAAGTATGTTTTTCTTTTTTTGTATTAATATCCTCACAACTGTTTCTGATAATATTTTTAAGTTATACTTAATTGTCGCTCTCATTTAAATTAACAGAAAAGGAATGAAGTTTAATTAAACTATTTAGACGAAATTAAAATAGTTTTTTTTTGGAAATTCCTGAATCTACCCAAACGCATGAAAAAAGCTACTTCAAATAACTAAAAAGAAAAAAATAGTTTTACATTCTCCACTCGTTGTTAAACGTTATGTTAATAAAATTAAAGACTTCAGAATGTGAATTAATTTTACATTAGTTTTAGTTGTTTAAAGTTGTGTTATGTATTATTTAAAAGTTTTTTTTAGTAAAGTACACACAAAAAAATAAAATATATTATTTACAGATTCCGTGCTTTTGCTGATATTCGTTAACTGATTTCTTGAGATGCAGACATCCTCATAAGGTTTTCATTCACCACAAAATATGTGTTAATTTAAAATGCTTGTTGCATTTAGTATCAAAATGACTATCACTGGACACATGTTATACCTAGGTACGATACAATCCCAGCAGACATAATATGTCTAATAACAAAGGCCTAATAACAAAGGCGGCAAAGTCCTATATCATTATATGGGACTTTGCCGCCTTTGTTATTAGACCCCTAATATTCAGTAGTATATCTCTATCATATAAAACGATAAGACGTATCAAATTAATCGCAGCTAATCAATATATCTAATTCAAGACGCAATATCACAAGATACAACTATCATACGGATGGCGCCCCCTCACTATAGTCGTTAGGACTATTTTAAACATAGTTTTTTATCTAAAAGGAGCTCTTAGGTACCACATTAGGGTTTGTCTATTATAAACCACTTCCCCTGTATTTTTGAAAGTTTTATTTCAGTGATATTACATTTATTTGATATGTGATTATTACTTTACTATTTTTTATTTGCGGCTTCATTCAGTTGAGCTTCAATTTATAAACATTATTAAGTGCTGCTCCGTGCCAATTTAACGAAAATATCTGCTGGTCAAAGATTTTTTTTAAATTATAAAGACTATCAGACTTAGATGATTATGTATGTGACGTTTAGCAAAGTTATAATATGCTACAGAAACATGTGAATAAATAAGTTTTTCAGAATTGCATTAATATCATATGTCTAGAAACACCTACCCTTTTTAAATCGGACATGTGTCTTCCGATGTCTTCGGATTTCCGATGTCCTATCCATGTCTTCGGCTGTAACATAGCAGCATTAGGATACGAGGGTGGATTGAAAAGTACTCGGCCTAACCAAGAAAATAAACACATACTAAATCAGTTATATTTTTATTTTTCTACATAATCACCATCAAGTTCAATACACTTTTGCCACCTCTCCTTCCAAGCATTTAGACCGTTGAAAAAAAAATGATTCTTCCTTAGAGTCAAAATATGCGTCTACAGCTGCTTTGACCTCGTCGTTTGTCGAAAATCTTTGACCTCCCAAGTGCTTTTTTAGGTTAGGGAACAGAAATAAGTCTGATGGTGCCAGATCAGGTGAATACGGCGGATGCGGTAACAGTTCAAAGCCACAGTTGTGAATTTCAGCCATTGACTGTACTGACGTGTGAACACGGGCGTTATCTTGATGAAACGGGACTTTTCTTCTGAGCATTCCTCGACGTTTTTGTTTTATTTCCTCTCGTAAACGACGTAGTAAGGTGCAGTAGTAATCATAGTTTATAGTCTGACCCCTTTCAAGATAATCAATCATAATCACACCTTTCGAGTCCCAGAATACTGAAGCCATCACCTTATTTGCCGACAAAATCGACTTAGCCTTTTTAGGGGGTGGTGAACCAGGTCTTCTCCACTGTTTTGATTGTTGTTTTGTTTCCGGTGTACAGTAATGAACCCATGTTTCGTCCATGGTAACAAAACGATTCAAAAAATCATCTGAATCGGCTTCAAATAACTCCAAACAGTCGCGTGAAATAGTCAATCGCGTCCTTTTTTGTTCAACCGAAAGCAGTCGCGGAACCCACCTCGCAGACACCTTGTGGAAACCCAACTCGTTGACAATGATGTTTTGAGTTCGTTCATAAGAGATGCCTATAATCTCGGCTATCTCTCTAATTTTTAATCTGCGGTCTCCCATTATTAAATCAAGTACTTTTTTTAATATTTTCGTCAGTAGTTGACGTCGAAGGCCTTCCAGAGCGGGGTTCATCTTTCACACTCTCTCTACCACGCTTAAACTCTGCTATCCATTTTTTGACCGATGAATATGACAGAGCGCAATCGCTTAATGTACTGATCATGTCATCATGGATGGCTTTTGATGATAGCCCCTTCTTATGGAGGTACTTAATGACGGCACGCTGCTCGATTTGCTCCATTCGCGGAAATTATGTCCGACTACTTTGTTAATAAATTTATAAAATCACAACTAATTATCGCACACGTTTCGAACTTCACACAATGAACTAGTCTGAACTGAACTAAATAATGTGGGTAGATTTGATTTTTAGAATTGAATGGATCTGTGTTAGGCCGAGTACTTTTCAATCCACCCTCGTAATATTTGACGCTGATATTCTGTGAGAGTGTGGTCCTTCCCCGGTCGAGCCGATCCATTCGTATTACAACTATGCTACTAATATAAATGCAGCATGTTTCTACCACGTATAAAATCGGACCAAACATTAATAATTAAAATTTGAGGGTAGGTTTCGTGAAACGTGACGACGTGTATCTATGACATCTGGACGTCAAACACCTTAGCTACCACCATCGGTGCTTTAAAATGCCTGAAACATCGGGAATTAAACAAAAGTTAAAATTAAATTCGATAAAATCCTTAAGATAAGTTTTAGTCCAAATTAAGTTCTATTCACGGTGAACGTGGGAAGAATTTTGACGACTCCTTGGCGCAGTGGCTTAGCAATGAGTGGCTGCGCTGGGGGTCGCGGGTTCGAATCCCGCACGGAACAAGTATTTGTATGGCCTACAAGTAGTTGTTCCGAGTCTGGATGTTGGTCCTTGTGCAATTTATGTTTGTAAACTGCCCCCACAATACAAGAGAAAATCTTAGTGTAGGGGTAACCTTTCAAAAAAAAAAAAGAAAAAAAAATGTTGTGGCGGGGAAAGAAAATCTGCCACCTTATATTATCACGTGGATGTCGTATGAGGCAACAGAGGGTAACTAAGAGGAGATCACATCATATTTCTTACAACAAATAAAATAATAAAAGCTGCAGTTGCTAAACCATCTGCTAAGCGTAGCAACAACAGTAAATATCCAGCCTATTTGAGAATGTATGGGGGAGGTCTATCTATGTTCAGTTAAGTGGATTTTCGATAGGCTGTAACGATGACGATAGTGAGTTCTACTTTGCTACCTTTTATATTTACAATAGAATTAAAAAAAAAAGTAAAAAAGTAGCAGCCGACATACATCCCAGTAATGGACACAGACCACAGAGAATTTATGGCCAAAATATATCCGCTGCGCTGATCCTAACGCGTCCTGCATTGGGGTCAGATCAGCCACCTCAACTGGGGCACTTCTGAGATATTCAGGTTTCCTCGTTATGTTTTGCTTTACCGCCGAGAACGTGGTAAATCGATACTTTAAATTACTATTAAAATATTTGCTAAAACATATAACATAGCTTACGTGGTATGAAATTTACGTTTTGGATCAGCTGACTACCGCCTTTAAGAAGTGAAATAAAATAAACCTTTGTTTTAGTAAAGTAAGTTTCTTTGATAATTAAATAATTGTTCCATATTTATATATGTTATATTACTCATGTGGGCTATGAAACCAGAACTGTCACGAAAATTTTAATATGTTTGAAAATATTTATAAATTAGAGGTAAAGAAAAGTAAAGTTACATAGCTGACTTTGTTTTGATATTTTTGATAGTCGTCACTATTCTGTATCTATTTAAATTATTACCCTTTGAAAATGAAATAACGAAAAAACTGAAAAATAAATGATAGAATTATTTAAACGTATAAATGTAAGTTATTGATACTTTTTTATTAACCCTCCGTAGCACACGTGGGGTTTACGCGTACCCCAGACGTATCATTTTTCTTCCATAGTGGCGCCTTCTAGCATCTAGGAGCCGCCTCATGTACCTTCCCACTCAGTATTGCTCGAGACGCGGGGCAGAGCGCTTCGGTCCTCAAGGTAAGTAATCCACATTAATTTCGGTTCTTATGTTGAAAAACGTGATTAGGGTCCATAGGGACCCCACGTGTACTTCAATGTAACAAAAATGTTATGCATTCCCCACCTTTATTTTTAATATTTTTTTGGGAATCAATAAATTATTCACATTCTTCTAGGAAGATGGCTGGATATTCGAACGAGGAATGGATTAGGGTTGAGCTGGAGCGGCAGGAGAGAGAAGAACTAATCGAAGAGTGTTCCACCGAAGAAAGTAAAGAGGACGATGCCTCTTTGCTAAATGATGACAACGTTCCCGATGAGTTCTTTGCTGAAGATGACGATGAAGCAGATCTATTTCTACCCCAGATTCCGTTAGATTCGGACTCTCATGACGATAGAGAATTTCTTCCGGAAAAAGATGGATAGACCATCTGGTCGAAGACCCCTATGGGAAAGAGAACTAATAGATCTCCAGCAAGAAACATCATTACTCATCTTCCATGAGCAAAAGGGGATGCTCGAGCATGTAACAGTGCGCTGTCTTTTTTCAAACTATTTTAGTGAATTTCGCGTTCATACGATAGTGCTCCACACTAATGAAGAAATCAGTAGAAGAATGGCAAATGCCCCAACTTCAGAGAGATTCACTGGACCCACTGATACCATAGAGATAGAAGCACTAACAATCTAGAACTAAAAAGTAACTTTATCTCTTTTTATGTAAAGTTCGAATTTATTGTGTTGATTTTCTCGACTTTATTGGTGTCATTAAAATATTTTTGTCATTCTAACTATCAGATTTTTTATATTTTGTCACCCCATTTTCAGAAACGTGTGATTCACCAGATTTGGAATAAAATTCTGGTATTCTGAACAGAGGTACTTGCTAGTTTCAAGTGTCATTCGTCTACGAGGACGGTTCTACTCATAGAACAACTGAGCAAAAAACCGTAAACTTACGTCCTGTGACTTTCAATGAAGTGACTTTACACTCTTATATTTAACTATAGATACCCTATTATCTTCTTTGGAGGTTCTTTAAACAAAGTAAGCTTCAAAGATGCCATTCAGCAGCGTGACTGGCGCAAAAACGGATGGGGTCTGTGTGGACCCCACGTGTTCAACGTTTAAACTCCGTTTCACGTGTGCCAAAATACACAACTTTTTCCATTTTATGATGAAGGACGTTGTTTCGAAAATTGAAACGTAGATTCTCAGCGTAGTTTCAAATTATTATACAAAAGTAAAAACTAATTTTCAACTTTATTTATAAATATGATATTTATTTGACAAAACACCTGTTATAACAAACCACCGCCTATAACTAAAATAATCATTCCAGGATATAATAGAAAATTAACATCTTAAGGAAGTAAAAGATTTAACCTTCTTATTTTAAGTTCTGTAATTAGATAAAAAGTAGCCTATAAGTTGTTCCAAACCTCTAATTCTCTACGTACAAAATTTAATGGAAATTCGTGCGTGAGATTTGCGTGAACGGTGAACAGACGCAGACATACACGCAGAATGACAAAAAATCTATTAACCCTTAATTTGGCTTCAATAATCTTTATTTAGTCAGCTGGACTTGTTTTTCGAAGATATATATGAATTACTATATTAAAAATGTATTTAAAATCTGACACTTTACTACTTTACTAAATAGTTGGACACCTTGTCCACCAAAGAGTCCATATGGTAAGTACCAACCCTTTACATATTTCTTCTGCAAATTAGCAGTAAATGTAAAGTTGTATATCAGTCAGAAGAGTACGGAGAGTTGGTATAATTACAGGCTCTGAGGCATTCTATCTTGGTCCTCAGGGGTGACAACGCATCTGTAGTTTTTTTTTTGTTTGAAATTGGCTGAAGATGGCTACAGGTATAAAACATATATATGGCCATTTAGCTTCAGTTGGATTGTAAGCTTGTTTAATCAGTTTTATGAAATAATGATTTCTTTATCATATTACACGAATATCTTTGTAACCATAGTGACTACGTGGCATAGACTAAAATTACCAAAATTATTGTAATTTTGCTTAACAATAATTAATAAAGTATAATTCGGTGGAAGTTGTAAATTATACAGCACTGATTAATTCAATAAAGTATCTCATTCACGGGTTATTCAGATGGCTACTGCATTGAACAGTTGATGATTTGGCGCAACCACATTTTTAATCTAGGTCGAATGTAAGTATTACTTTAAAATAATTGTGAAATTATCTGAATACAAAACATATTATCTGTATATAAATGCGCTGAGCATAATGCCCAGTGAATACTAGTAATAGTAGTTAATTTGTTAATTGTACACTTTTCTTTTTAATGAATTTTGTAAATCCTATACCTTTAAACGAGCAATTCTTGTATATATATATATATATATATATATATATATATATATATATATATATAATCGGAATCTCTGAAACGGCTCCAACGATTTTTATAAAATTTTGTGTGCAGGGAGTTTCGAGGGCAATAAATCGATCTAGCTAGGATTTATTTTTAGAAAATGTCTTTTTGTCCGTGTTTTTAGGCAATGAAAAACTGCTACAATATCGTTAGAATAAGATGGTAAATTTTGACAGTTTATTTATGATTACAAATAGCTTAATTGGTATACCAATATATTGGGGGGTCACAAAATCGTAATACCAATGGTCGAGCCCAGACCGACCGACCGACTTTTTTAATTTTTTTTTTCAAGTTCCTTTCTTTTTTGAGAAAATCTATTTTTTCGAGCCGTTTTTTTTTAGTATTTTTAAAAACACGAAAATTTAAATTAAACTAATTGCACTCATGATTTTTTTATTCAAATAACCAGTTCAGTTTTTTCTATTATGTCGCTAAGATCAAAAATATTATTTGTATTTCATCGGTATGTAATTTGTATATAAATATAATTTCCAAAACACACGAATTAAAAAAACCGAGTGAAAAATACCGAGCAAAGCTCGGTCAACCGGGTACTGTTTGTTTATGTGTTATGTTTTTAAAATATAGGCTTTTTATTCTGTTAATACATTTTCATTATTTTCTATAAAAGTCTACTCGTAAACATAAGCCCCCTTGCAGAGATTACCTCGTGGACGATTTTGTCTTATTTGGTACGGTTTGGTTTGGCAACCGCGATTTTTACTACTTTGATTTATTATTAGGCAAGTGCCTGCCCATAGATTGTTTCATTATCCCTCTGCAACTTCTTACGACACCCACTTGATGATATGGGATTAAAGTTAGTTAAAGTTACAGCCTATATACACATTCCACTGCTGGGCACAGATCTCCCCTCATTTCTGAGAGGGTTTAGGGAAAGGATGTATCCGCCGCGTTGTCCCAATACGTGTTGGCGAACTTCGTATGTCTTTGAAATATTTTTTTTTAATTTATATTTTACCGTTAACAACAATATGCAATTATAATATATTAAACAAATGTTAAAAGTCCGAATACCATGTGTTTTTAAATGGAAAGAGCTGAGTCCTGTTGAAAGCTCTGTTTTTCTCGGCATCACTCTCGACGTTAAGTTTCAGTGGGGCCCCCATATATCTAAACAAGCAAGCAGACTAAGCTCTGCAGCTCATGCTGTAAAATCACTAGTGTTGAGAAAGCTAGATCAGCTTACTCCATTTATTTCGAAAGCATAATTTCATATGGGATTTCGCTATGGGGAAATGCAGCTCATTTAGAAACTTTTTGTTTTGCATAAGAGGGCCATAAAAGGTATTTACAACCTAAAACCGAGAGAGTCTCTTAGAGAAAAATTAAACAAAATAAATATATATAATTTGGCCTCAGTATATTTACGAAAATTTTATGTATTTTCACAAAAACAAAGGTAGTTTCTGCAAGAAAAGTAATAATATACACTCTGTAAACACTAGAAGCAAACACAAGCTAGTGATACCAATTTCTTGACTCCACAGAGTCCATAATTCATTATTGGGGCAATGTATACGTTATTATAACAAAGTCCCATAAAATACAAAAGGTCTCTCTATTACCAGGTTAAATTTTTACTTTAACAAAACTGTATAAATTTTGTTATATGGTATGGTTTATAATAACTCCTGGGAGTCAGGTGGTCGTTGCTAAGCTGTTTCTAAAATAAATTTTGTAAATATTTTGTAACCATACACATTGTAAAATTTATTTTTAAAAAAGTAGACCCGCTGGATTTCTTGCTGGTTCTTCACAGGACAGAGGTTTTTTTCCGAATCAGTGGTAAGGTAAAAAATTACTTTCAATAAGAAATATATATAATCTATATTGAATAAAAACATTATATTCTATAACGGTGACAGGATGGCAGCTGGCAATTTTTGCAAGATTATTTATTTTTTTCTCTTAAATAATACACAATACCGAAGCAAACACCAGTGCTGTATCACAACAGTATATTCAAATACCGGTGGCACGTCAGTCAGAATTACACGCCTGTCGAACACGTGGGTGGGGGGGGGGGCGCAGCGCCGGAATAATGTTACTGTGACAGCCGATGTCAGAGCGAAACTGTTGTGACAACGTTTCCGTTGTATATTCATAATATAAATCTTATTCCTTAATCAAAATATTTTTGGATATATTCTTATTATTAGATACTTTCATAAATAAGAATTTATACTATATAGGTAAGTTAAGGTGAGAGGCGACACCTTTATCGCCTCGTTTCCCTCGAAACTGATGCAGGTAATGGGTAGCAGCATGTTCCTGATAACAATTCAAAACTGTAAAAACAAAACTACGGTTACTAACCCGCTTAACAACCGTGGTAACGATAGCAAAATCCTCCGAATATGAGCCATATGTGGTGGGGGGCTACGTACAGCAGTGGAGCTTTACAGGATTTATTGGGTGGATGGAATAGATGCAATCTCTAATAAAATAACAAATTGGGCAAACATTGTATAAATATCGAGATTTTGTTGTAAAATCATACATAAATAACAAATTCCTTATAGTCGAATATAAGTAGTTTATGTTTGTTTCTAGTATTAACATAATATATTACATCATTTATTTTTTACACCTGATGTCTTCACGTGCAGATATTCGTCCGCATCATCATTACAGCCTTTCACAAGGCCACTGTTGAACTTAGGCTTCTCTCAAGGAATGCTACAAAATACATTACCGAGATACCTGCGTCTATCTTACTATATGTCTTAACAGGTCACTGTATTAAAAGGGGTCAAAGTTAAAATAATATATTAATCTTCTTAAATTTTGTCAAGAGATTAAAGATTATAACTCACACCTTTCAATTGTGTTCAGGGTTCAGGTTCATTTTGGGTTGTAAGGTCTTACTGGATATTTTTAATTTTATCTAGAAAGATTTTAATAAAATTTGACCATAACGGAAACGGGACCAGATTATGTTAATCTAAAAATGAAAAAAAAAGAGTATCTTAATTGTA